TTATTTTTTTTCATTATTATTATTGTTTTGATGGCTGGCCAGAGGTGGGATCTGAACCCCTGACACTGGTGTTATCAGCACCATACTCTAACCAAATGAGCTAACCATCCAGCCCCAGAATGTTCTTTTATTTTGGCAGCTGGCCAGTACAGGGATCCAAACAGTTGACTTTGGCATTATTACACCATGCTCTAACCAACTGAGATAACCAGCCAGTCCAAGAAAGTTCTTATTAAATATGCAAACCTGGGCTGGCCAGTTAGCTCACTTGGAGAGTGTGGTGCATAGCCTGTCCCCAAAATGTTAATGTTTTCTTGAGATGACACCTTAGTCCCCTCATTTTCTCACTTTACTTGTTTTCCCTGAATGATCGCATTCACTTTCATGGATACAATTACCATTCCTATCCCTAAGTCTAAAGTGAATTAAATACATGGCTATCATCCCTGAATTTTCTATCTTGTTCTACCTCACTTTCCAAGCAGAAAGAAGTCACTTGAGATTCTTCCTTCAGTCATTCTGTCATTCAGTCATTCAGCCAGTCCTGTCATATTTAACTCCTAAATGCTTCTGTCACTCCCTAAGATCAGATCCTCATCTCTGACCTGGACTTTATCACTAATTGATCTCCCTGTTACCAGTGTTATCATGCTCCAATTTACCATACATCTGTTATTCTCTACAAAAATCACACTCTAAAATGAAAACTTCATACCTGCCAGCCTCCAAAAATAAATAAGTAAAATGAAAACTTCTTAGCTTGGCTTAAAAGACCTTGCCCAATCTTGCCCCAGTTTCTCTCTCTAGTCTTACTTCCCAATCTCTCACCATACAGTCATATATATCAAACACTCTGACCTCATTTTTCCTTGACCTTGTCACAGACCCGTCACAATACCTTTGCTGATGATTTCCCCAACCTGGAATTCCTTTTCTCTCTCCACTCAGGCAAATAGACACTTAACCTTCAAGACCCTGTTCAAACATCACCTCCTCTGTAAAGTGCCATCTACATCCCCAGGTAATTAGCCCCTCTTTTTCCAGTGTTATTACTGTCTTTTTAACATATTGCTATCATTTCACTTGTTACACTGTTTTATAATTATTTATTTGCAGAATCTATTTTCTACTAGATCGTGAGCTTCTTAAGGGCAGGGGCTGTGTCTTACTCATTTTTGTATATCCCCACTGCCTGTCATTATGTCTGACCCATAGCACGACCTCGACAAATATTTGTTGAATGAAGGACTGTCGACACTCATATAAGGGCATAGGGTGACAGGCTTTGTGAAGGGGTGGGTTACACAAATGGCATAAACATAACACCAGACTTCCATTTGGTGGAAATTGGATCTTCACTCCATAAAGAGAAGCGTTCCAGTTTATCATCTAACAGGGGTCACTCACCACCATCCCCAAACCCATGAGAAGCCACTTCTGAGAAAGAATTGAGTGAAGGCGACTCTAGCAGGTCTTTGATGCTGTTCCAAAGGGCAGTGGGTGACACAGGTTCCGAACGACTTTGGGAAAATGTCTACCCTGAGGCTGGAAACCCTGAAGAATGGGGGCAGCAAATATCTTCCCGGCTATGCCCAGTAGCCTTTCAAGACACATCCCTCAGCCCCACCGCGCAGCTCCTCCCTCGTCTACACCCAGCAGGCCTCGATCCTGCTGTCCCGCCCCCTCTTTCTTCACACCCTCCAATATTTCCTCCCAGGGAACCCCCTTCACGACTGTGACCTTCTCGCCTCCGGAACTTTAGAGCCATAGATCCTCTCAGCCCAGATTCTCCCCACCACTCTATGACCCCTGACCCCCTCCTCCAGCCTGCTCTTACTGTCCAGATAATGTTCCAAATACATCCCCGCAGCCATCTTGAAGCAAAACAAAGCAACTTCCGAGCCGCCCCGGAAGTGACTGAACCGCGATAGGCGCTGAAACTATGCTTGAGCACAGCTCTTCCGCCCTTAAAAGAGGAACTTCCGCCCTTATTAAATTAACCGCCGGGACATATCCGCCCGACATTGAAACTCTTTCTTTTGCGTTGATGACCGAGACCGAGGCGGCTTTAGCCCGCTTCCGCCCTCACTGAGACCCATTACTGTGACCAAGGCAGGTATGACGTCACTGAAGGGCGCCATTTTGCATTCTCTACCAAACTTTTTTTCCCTCCAAAACGAGAAATTTTGGTAATTGAGGGGAAAACTGTTCTCTTTAGGATTGTATGCCGTAAATATCCCTTTTCAGCGACTGAGAATCCCACTTTTTTCCTCTTCTGCATTATACGAATCTGGTGACCTGGCCCCTGCTGAAGGACTTTCTTCAAGGCAGCTAGTTTCTTAAAGAAGTTCCGGAGGAGTATCAGGCCTTGCGAGATTTAAACCCTCCGCATTCCTGTCCATTCACACGAATACCACCTACCCAGCATTATTTTTTAGCTTGACAAAAGTTCATTATGAACTTTCTACTTATAAAAACAAAGACTTACTCACAATAAAGCTATAATTCTTTTTTTTTTTTTTTTAAAGATGACCGGTAAGGGGATCTTAACCCTTGACTTGGTGTTGTCAGCACCACGCCCAGCTAGTGAGCGAACCAGCCATCCCTATATGGGATCCGAACCCGGGGCCTTGGTGTTATCAGCACCGCACTCTCCCGAGTGAGCCACCAGCCGGCCCCAAAGCTATAATTCTTACACCTTTCGTCAGGGCTTCTGTCCTTCACGCATGAATACTTTCACATATAAAATGATGTAGGGCTTGCGGCCTTGTCCTCTTGCCACTCTCTAAGGGGGAAATTCCATGGTTTTGTTTCCCTTTTTTTTAATTTTAATTTTTATTTATTTTTATTCAAAAAGATGACCAGTAAGGGGATCTTAACCCATGAGTTGGTGTTGTCAGCACCATGCTCAGCCAGTGAGCTAACCGGCCATCCCTATGTGGGATCCGAACCCACGGCCTTGGGGTTATCAGGACCACACTCTCCCGAGTGAGCCAAGGGCCGGCCGTTTGTTTCCCTTTTTATTTCAGTTTATATGTGAATATCATGACTCTGAAGGGACTGAGGTATTAGGGCCCTCTACCACAACTGGGCCAGTTAGGTGCCAGCCATAACCCTAATCAGCTATAGTACAATGAACTGTATGTTTTTCATTAGGGTGGAAAGCAATCAAGGCCGTGACAGATTGTCCCCTCCCAAGGGAAACAGAACTCAAAGCCTGTAACTTCATGGTGGTGTTAGTAAGATAACTTGGAGATAACTGTCACTCCTGATATTCACACATCCTTCCTAATAAAGTCACATGGCAGGTTTCTAATGCTAGACAGGTTTTCAGCCACGTAATTTAGGCCAAGTATGTGAAGAAAAGCAAAACTCCAGGGTTTACTAGCATGAAGGTGGTAAGACAACAGCACTAGAATCTAGGTGATTTCACTCTAATTGCAAACATTATGACCTTGGAAAAGTAATTTAATGTGTCTAGTTCCTTCTCTACAATGAGAATAACAGTACCTACTGTACAGTTGTTGCAATGAGTGGGGTGGGAATTCACCCTTGAAGAGTAGATACTGGTTCTAATATTGGTGATGAAGATAGGGCTGCGTGGACCTTCTCAACAGTTGGTGAAGATGGGAGAAAAAAGCAATAAATACTCAGGAAGTTAACACACACTGGCATATTTGGCCATATGTGATACATTCATTGGTGTCACACTACATATTGACACACTATCTCGGATGCCCACATACAAGAAGCCCAAAATTAAGTAGCTACTATCCACACCCCACTATGTAACAAGCACCGTTGGCCTGCAGTTCCAGAGAACCACCAGTTTTCAGATGTGGGACCCTGGTCACAACTTTTTCAGTGCTTAAAGAAAGCTTTTTAATTCTCAGAAAGTAACCTCAGAAGTTATCTAGTCCAATGCCTTCATTTCCAACTGAAGAAGTATTGTAGCCAATAGTGTCAATAGTAGAGCCAGGGCTGAAGTCTAGGTTTCCTAACCATGTTTTACTCTTCAGTACTACAACTGTCCTGCATTGTTAGTCAATTTTGCACCCATTAACTAGTGATTGTTTTCACCACAGGAGACCTCCCATTTTAGGTGACACAGGATAATGAACATATGTAGGTAAGCACATTGCCAAGTGGAATTAGCATAGGGCTCTTCCATTGAAGCTCAGGCCGGAGTATAGGTGTTTTCAAGAAGCCATGCTTGGGCCGGGCCCGGTGGCGCACTGCTATAGTGCACCGCTTGGGAAGCGCAGTGGCGCTCCCACCGAGGGTTCGGATCCCACATGCAGACCGGCCGCTCACTGGCTGAGCGAGGGGCAGGAGCAACCCCGAGGGTTGCGATCCCATGGCCGGTCCCGGCCCGGTCCGGGCGCAACACAGGGTTGCGATCCGTTGCCGGTCATGAAAAAAGACAAAAAGGGGGAAAAAAAAAAAAAAAAAAAAGCCATGCTTCCATTGCTTTTGATAAGGAGCTTAGTTGTTTTGTTTACACGTAACTAAAACTTTCCTCTCACATATTTAGGGAATGTGATCCCCATGACAGAATTTTTATGTAGAAATCCTCATAAACCAAGATACCCTCTATGGCTGGGAAATTACACACATGGAGCCACATCACACGACATTTGTTCTTCACACACACTCTGGTGTAAATCCTCAGTACTGTCCTTTAACATCTCCCAAATAAACTTTTTCCCACGCTCACTCACATCAGTAGCTCCACTGCCTCTGATCCTTTTACATGAATTTATTTCTATACAATGTTCTAAAAACACCCCTTGGTTTGTACATAAGTTTTTTTTTTTTTCTTCATTTTTAAATTGCTTTATAACAACTGGTTTCCTGATTTTTTTTTTTTTAAATTTTCTCTTTTCTCTGAAATCTGCCATGATTTAAAAAAAAAAAAAAAAAAAAAAGGAAATAAAAGTGCCATGGCCAAAGGACAGGGTGGAGGAACAAAAGGCAAAAATAAAATTAAAAACATCAAATATGAAAATTCTCAGAGATAATGCATTTATAAACACAGAAATGGTTACAACAAAGATGGCCGTGATGAGTGGGTGTATATATATATATATATTTATATATATATATTTATATATAAATCCATGTCCGGCACCTGACCGTGGCACCTAGGGAGCTAAGTCCAGTCCTTGCGTTTGCCTTGAACTCTCCCTTCTCTGCAATACTCGTTTTAGGGTTTCACAGAGAACACAAAGCTCCCACAGCTCCTTGGGGGTTGGGATGGGGAGACAGAGAGTACAAGGCCTTGGTTGGCAGAGAAGGGAGAGACGGGCTCCAAGGAAAACCATAACCCACACTTCTAAGCCACCCTTGACCACTTTAGGAATCTCCGGCCCCTTGGGGACCACATCTCAGCCCTTTCCCCCCTACAAATAAAAGGAGGTTTAATCCCCACCCAGATCTCTTTCTACCAGCAGTAGGTAGGAAGCGAAGTGAGACAATGTAGGGAAGAAAATGGCTCTTGGGGACTGAGAAAACCTTTGTTTTCATGAGAAACCTCTGTTCTTTTGCAGGCAAGAACAGAACAGGAGGCTGGTTACATTCAGGGCTCCCTTCTCTCTGATGTGTGGGAGGGCCAGCCTCTAGTCTATCAGCCCAAACTTTGAGGATGAAGAGGGTAAGGACAGAGTAAGTGCCCACACTGGACAAGTTTCTATGAGGTCATAGCAAATCCTTCCCTTGAGCACCGACCCCCAATATTAAAAGCTTTGCTTGGGAGGGGAGACTGCTGGATTACACAATCAGCTCAGTATTCCTCTGCCAATCAGGAGGGCTGATGATGTTCCTTTTGAAGAGGAGTTGAGAATAAGGATGGTATCTTGTGAATGAAAGCCGTGCCTGAGGCCCAAGGAGACGAAGCCAAGGCTAATTAAGGAAGAAGAGGACTTTTCCCACCAAGAGAAGTTGGAGAAAGAAGGGACCAGAACTTCTTTCTCCTCTTCCCAGTGGATGGCAGCACGGATCTCTAAGAGCTGGCCAGGTGTTCCACCTGGATGGTGCTGGTGGTGACAGTGAGGCAGATGTCCTTATGATGTTCCGCCGTCTTATAGGGGGTCAGGTCAAAGGAACACTGGGGTGGAGGGTTGGGATTGCTGTCCCCACCACCCCCACCCTGGGGAGCTGCCCCAGGAGACTGGAAGTGTGGCTGTGGTTGTTGCTGCTGCTGTTGCTGCTGCTGCTGTGATGCCTGGGAGGCCTGGGCTTGCGCTTGGGCTTGGGCTTGGGCTTGGGCTTGGGCTTGGGCTTGGGCTTGGGCTTGGGCCACTGCTGCTGCCGCCGCTGCTGCCTGCACTTGTTGCTGGAGATCAGGAGGGTTGTGTTTGCGCATATGTTTCATAAGGTATGTTTCCTGAGGGAGATGGTAAAAAGAAATTGAGGGATAAAAAAGAAGGAAAAGAGATTACTTATAACTAGCATCCTGGACTCTTACTTTGCTTAACAGTAATATTTATACAGAGATATCTTGGAGCCAGGATTAAGTAGAACTCAAGTAGTACTTTCAGTGCTCACTATTAGGTAGAAAGGAAGGGGGATCTTTAGAAGTCACCGTGGACATTCAACTGGCAAAGGGAAAAGCTGCTGTTTTTCTCAAAGATCTCTGAATGGAACAACTTTACAATCTTTTTCTGGAGTCTAATAGAAAACACCTAACTGAAATATTTCTCCTCCCAAATTTTCAAGTGGCTTTATTTTGCCTTATGTTTAAGTAAAATGAAGAATCATTGTTTTCAATTTCTGTGAGCTTAGGGGATCAGGCATCCCCTAAATTCCTCAGCTATGAGTCTAATTAATTCCTGAATCTTTACTGATTCTGGTAAGTTGGAATTAGGGAGGCAGGGTATTTGCTGCAACATATCTTTATCCAGAAAGTGGGGTGAAGTGGACTGTAGTTTTACAGGACTATTGGGAAGGAAAGAGAAGCTGAGCGCTCACCGATGTATATGCCCGACTACAGATAGTGCAGGTGTACACCTTGGCATGCTTCACCGTATGCGTAGATAGGTGTACCTCTAATGAGGTTGCGTCTGTGTACGCCCGATGACAATTATGGCACTTGAAGGGTTTATCTTTGTTGTGTTGCCGTCTGTGGGACTGAGAAAATTGGGAGAAACCAGGATGAGTGCATTGTACTCCTCCCCGCTGCCTCCTTGACCTTTATGGAAAGACCTGAGGTGAGTGTCAGGCCTACCTGCTTCTCCTTCCATCCTAAGGCGGCAGAAACTGCTTTAAATGAAACTTCAGGAGCTAGAGGCTAAGGGAGGAAGCGTACCTAATGCAGGACATATCGGGATCCTGAAAATTGGGATGACGGCTTAGGCCTTGTCGCACTGCTCCACTGGTTCTTAGAGTGAGACGTGGGGACCTCTAGGGGTCACTAAGACCTTTTCACAAGGTCAAAACTCTTCAAAATAATAATAAAGTGCCTGACTTTTTCTCTCACTCTCTCATGATTTTACAGAGGTTACATGATGTGTGATCCAGCAATAGACTGAGTGCAGCAGATACATGTTCTGTTAAGCCAGACATTAAAGAAACTTGCAAAAATGTAAAAAGATGCCATTTTTCTCACTAAGTTTTTTTTTGGGGGGGGGTTGAAAATGTTATTTATGTTAATATGCAGTGGGTTTATTATTGTTCTTTTTAAAAGGATTACTAAATATTTTTCAAGTTTCTCAGTTTTACAGTATCTGTGTAGATAAATATCACCCACGTAAACCAAAGCTCTTTGGCTTCCTCAGTAATTTTTAAGAATGTAAAGGAGTCCTGAAAAAGCTTGAGATCTACTGTACTAGGCAAATGGCACTCTGACCCTAAGCCTCAGACTCAAGGTCTTGTGTGGAGGGTGGAACACTCACCTGCAGGTTGGAGAGTTGTGTGAAGGCTTTCTCACAGCCTGGATGTGCACATTTGTATGGTCGATCACCAGTGTGGATTCTGCATGGGATGAGAAGAGAAGAAAGGCAAAGGACATCAGCAAGGCCACTCAGAGACTGGCTCCTTAACAAATCTCCTCAGGCCAATCCTGCCCTCCTAGGAAACACATCAGATGGGCCTCCGGGAGGCACCAACTTTAGCTCCTCTATGACAGAGATCAGGTTGTAATGCCTGATTTCTGGCCACTGTCTGTATCACTCAGCTCAAGTTGAACCTCCTCTCTGCTGGTGGAGGAGGAACTGAGGTCTTGGCACCCAAGAGACAGGCAGCTCACAATTTGGCATACAAGTCAGCTCCTGCAGTAACTGTCCTAATGAACATTCAGAAACATAAGGTAAACACAATGGCAAGGAAAAGAAAAACATAACACCACTTTTTTGGCCCCCACTCTACAGCCAGAAACTATCCCCTAGCCTCAAGCATCACTTCCAGAGAAAGTTCTGGTATCAAAGAAAAGCAGAGTTAACACTGATTGTGAAGAGTAGTGGTGATATTAATGAAAACTCACAGAAACTTCTAAGGGCTTTTACCAGTCCAGCCCCCTAACCTCTGCTAAGATGAGCCAAAGACTTGAGGGTGCACCTAACACCTGCTCCTTGTCACAGATGTCAGAGCCATCCCTGTGATAAGGTGCTTTTTTGGACCACTGGTATAAAATCTCCAAAACATCACAGGACATGTCTCTTCTTTATGAAGAAAGCCTGACTCTTCCTCTTCTCAAAGAAAGATGTCTGATCACTTTAAGGTGAAGCCATCACATCCACAAGAAGTCAGGTGTGACAGCCTATGGCCAATAAGTCTGGACTCCAGATCAGCTTGAGATACCACTGAAGGAGATCATTGACTCTTCTAGTTGGCAGGTTCACTTCCTCCTACTCACTCCAGATTCACAGGATAAATGGTGGGCATCCTTATGAAGTATGAGCTGCTTCATGTTGTTCGCTAGCTCTCTGTGAATATTTAGTAAATGTCCTGTTTTGTTCTCTACTTCTGGCATCCTTTGGAGCCTTGCTTGTTGCTGTGGGTATCACCAGGCTGGTGTCCAGCTAATGCCTGATTACAGCTCCCATTCATAATTGGTGCCCTAAGGGCTAGAGGTATGGTCTTCTCCAATCAAATGCCTCTGCTTTGGCATCAAGGAAAATATCTTGCAAGATGTGCACGTGGGCATTTTCACGGAGGAAAATGAGGGAAAGAAAGTTGTCTCTGCTCCAGGTGTCACTGCCTCCCATGGATCAGGGAATATCACAGTCACTGTATCTCCCAAACGTAGCTCTTGCCCCAGAAAGGCTCTCTTGGTGCCCACTTGTGTTTCCAATGTTGTTGCTTGGTCATCATTCTTCCGAATGCCAGCCAGGTCTCTCCTCCAGCCAGGTCTCTCCCCCGCCCCCCGCATGCGGGTTGTTGTGTGTGTCCGGGGCGGGGGTGGGGAGGGCATGCCAGCGGGACGGGGGCAGTAGCCTGCCACTCTCCCTTACCGTGTGTGCTGCTGGAGGTGGGAGAGCTGGCGGAAGGCCTTCTGGCAGTAGGAACAGTTGTAGGGCTTGGCCCCCGAGTGGATACGGAGGTGCTGGGCCAGGTAGGAGGTGTTGGCGAAGGTCTTGGAGCAGTGCGGGCACTTGTGGGGCTTGATGGTCTCCGTGTGCATCTTGGAGTGAATCCTGCCGGAGAGGAGAGGAAGGAAGGGGGGAGGAGGAAGCAGTTCGACACCACGGGCTCAGCTCTCTGCTAGGTGAAATGACGTTGCTTGACGGATGAGAGCACCCCCTCCCCCCTCCTCCCAAACATACTCCAGCCTGGATAGGCTAATGAAGAGGACACCCAGATCTAGGTTGCTGCTGATCGTAAGTCGGTGGCTAAAATGGCAGTGAGATGATGAAGAGCTGCAACCCATGGCTCCGGGTAACCTTAAAATATTCAGTCTTGTCAAACCTCTGCTTTTTCCTAAGGTTACACACTCACCACAGATACCCTGCTTCCAAGCTGTAATTTGAACAAAGACCAATACCGCATGTTCCCCACGGACCTGAAGTTGAATGCACACCTTAGCTTTGAACTGAAGCATATAGTAAAAGTGGGCCTGCTCTGCAGAAGATTTCCAAACACAGACACAGAGAAACCACAAAAATTGTTCCACACTTTGGGACTGGAGATGACAATGTTCGAGACACCCCAAACTGCTAAATATAGTTTATTTTTCGCAGACAATAATAGAGGAGAATTTAGGAATTTAGGAGAGAGGCTCCTAAAGGGCAAAGGTGAAAGGGAGAAAGGAATACATGGGTACAGAGGAGTAGGTGCAGGCTACGTGGCCTTGAAGGAGGGTTTCACAGCCAGATAGTGGGTAAAACTGAGAGCAGCCTTACCGGGTGTGCTGCTGAAGGTGGGAGAGTTGGCGGAAGGACTTCTCACAGAAGTTACAACTGTAGGGCTTAGCCCCTGAGTGTATACGGATATGCTGGGCCAGGTAGGAGCTGTTGGCGAAGGTCTTGGAACAATGTGGGCACTTGTGGGGCTTGGTCTCGGTGTGTGACTTGGAGTGGATCTGCATCTCCGACTTTGAGTAGAATGTCAGTGAGCACATCCGGCACCTGGGCCAAGTGAGGGCAGCGGTTAGAACTCTTCCCACCAAGAAGGCACTGCTCAGCACTCCCGCACCCCACCCCCCACTTCCAAGAGAAGCCCACCTATCTGAGCTCTCTCCTATTCCAACTTTGGAGGAGGAACTCTATTTTATTCATCTTTATAGCCTAAGCTTCTAATAGTGCCCAGCACATTATAACTATTCAATAAATGTTTGCTGAATGTCTGGACTCCCTAAGCATACAAAACCAAGAATTCAACCAGGTAAGGCAGAAAAAAATATGTGCTCTGGGTAGATGTGGATTTCACTGGGCCAGGAATATCAGTTAACTTGTTTTCCTTCTGCCTATAACTTGATTTTAAACTTTTAAAGAGCTCCTTTCTCCAGGTATAAAGTACATCCCTTAGTATTCTTCGAGCCCCTTACATGATAATAAGGAACAACTGACTAGATTCTCTCCTGTCTCTACAGATAATTTTCTTCACTCAGATTCTTCCCTACTTCCTTTTGGCAGTGATTCCTGGAGGGATGAGGGTGGGGAAAATAACAATTATTTGGAGGAGCTTTTCCAAACCATATATGTCTGGACTTCACCCTGTATCTGACATTCCATCAGTCACCTACCCCACCCCACTCCCTAGCCCCACAGCAATCAAGTGAGAATCACTTCTGCAATAAGCCAAGGTAACTGTTAGGAGTGGGTTGTATCCCTCAAATGTTTAGGAGAAGAAGGTTTGTGGAACACTGATCTTCCATGCTAAACCTTTCCTCTCTCCTAGCATATGGAGCCAATGTCAGCACTCTGGGTTGACATCAATAGCATCTGAATGTACTTTCACTCATCACCCGAGTTGGTAATCCTTCTTCCTGCTGACTGTCCAACAATATCAAATAAGGAGGCCTCTGTGCAAGTTAAGCCACAACTATGCAGACTTTATTGGGTAAAAGCTATCTATACATGAGCTGGAACCCTGTCATTTTCATAAATAACTCCAGTACACAATGTGAGCTAGGAAAAAGGGCAATGGTGTGGGAAGTCAAGCAACTAACGCAAGTCCCTCTCCTTTAGGTTCTCTCCAACTTGTCTTCATACAAGGCGCTTGAGATGGTGTGGGGTGATGGTTCCTGCATTTTTTTCATCTTGGGAGAATTTTTTAGAGAAAACTGAGTTCAAGACTAAATAGAACACCAAATTCTTCAGAGAAAACAATGTCACTGTTAGTTGGGGTATGGTCCCTATATTAATCCTTTCACTAAAATTCTAATCATGAACACCAATTTCCATTCACTTAATAACACTGAAGGAAATCTACCAGTTTATCAATCCCTGGCTGTTGTCTGAAATGCCCAATCACTGTATGAGAGAAGGGGAGGTTCTGTTTATAGTTAGCATAGTCCAAAGGACACAGTCGATAGGAGTCTGGACACCTGGGCTCTACTCGGAGTTCACTTATAGGCTTGTTCATTAATCTAGACCTCATTTTTCTGGTCTGTAAAACAGAGAGATAAATTTTTGTCCCTAGAAGGGCAAGCAAACACCCAGGACAGTCAAAGGTAAGCCAAGAGTTCTCTAGTAATAAAACTGCATTAATGTTAACAGCATCAGTGTGGACAGATGAGCTCATGCTACTAAATATTTCCCTAAGACTGAGGTTAGAAACTGGACACATTGTCACTTGGAAAGCAACTGTTGCAAAATAGTTTCCCTTGACTGCTAAAATTTCTTAGACAGAACACCGTTTATTTTAACTTAAATAATATCTCATTAGTTTGTATGAGTGTGTTCGTCACACAACTGCGCCCTTAACCTGAAAGTTAATTATAAAAAAGAAAATAACCCTCTTCATCAAAGTTTCCAATTAGAGAAGAATCTGTAAAACTTAAATTAATTGATAATGGACTGAACAGTCTCAAAAGGTAGAATAACAGTATAATAACGATGATTATAATAATGATAATGATAACAATAATGGTCATTTGTTGTTGTGCCTAATATTGCCAAGCACTTTAAACACATTGTTTATACTCCTCACAACAACCTGGCAAGTATTATCCCTGTTTTACAGAATGGAACACCAAGGCTCAGAAAGTAAGTAATTTGCCAAAGGGCAGTTATTCACTATAAAGCCATAATGCTAACCTAATTAAGATTCCTGACACTAGAAGTATTCAAGCAAAAACTCTGAAATCCTGTGAAGCCTAATAAAAAGAGTAAAAAGTCCTCTAAAGCAAGGTGTTTAGTGGCTCAAAAGAAATTCCACTGAGGAGAGTTGTGGTAGTGGGCAGTTAGCAAGGGATACAAAAAAGCCAGCACCTCCTATCACTTGAAGCATTACTCCAGGGGGCACCATTCACACCCAATACAATGGAAATGGTGACCGTTGGAAATATGCAGTGTGATGGCCTTGGTTAGAATGACCATTTTGTATTATAGTCCCATTTTTTTCCTAAGATACTCAAAACAATTTCAAATACTCTGATTTTTCATCAAAACACTTCCACAAGATAGATGAGGGATTGACTGAGCTTCCCATTTCATAGATGGGAACAAAGAGTTGGAAGTAAGTTGACTTGCCCAGAGTAACAAAACCCAATTCCCCCAATACCTAGTCAAATGCTATGGACCACTAGAATGGACGTGGTTGACACACACATACATCAAAATAGGAATTCATTGTGATTAAAAAGATTCCTTTCGAGTTTCAGAGTTCCGAGTTTCTGAAGAAATTCTGTTCACCTAGGATACCATTAGTCACCCTGAAATTTCAGAGTTCTCTTTTGTCACCTGGATGTGGGGTCTTTCAAGAATTCCAGAAATACTGAGGGTATGGAAAGTCCTATCCGGTTTCCTTCCAATTGTTACATTTCTTTTCATATACAGTTTGGAAAGTCTGGAGATAGCTTTAATGTGATCCAAACAAACAAACAAAACTGGCAGAATCAGAGGACCCTGATTTGACTTCACTTTAAGCAAACACATAAAAATCCAAATTTCTACAAAATAAATTTAAAAGGGATTTTAAATGAATCAAATTTGTGAGGCACCTTTATAATATGACATGACATAAACATTTTCCAGGAACACTTTTATTGTATAAAGTGGGGTACACCTGTAATAATAAAGCTTCAATGAACTTTCAGGTTGAGCTAGAATTCTGTAGTGCTCAACACTTTCTGTATAGCAACATTCCCCTCATTTTTACTTATAAGGAGGGATTTAAACACTCTAGTTGTGGCTACTCTCCACAGCAGAACTATACAACACAAATAAAAATAAATGCTAAATGACAACTATTTTTGTCTTTCTTTTGAAGTTCCCAACATTTCAAATCTTATCTGATATATACTCCCAACAAATGGGAGGCATAAACAGAATTCTCCCCATTTTACAGATGAGGAAACTGAGGCCCAGAGAGGGGAAAAGGACTTGCCCAGGATCACACAGCAAGTTCGTGGTGGAGCCGGGAACTGAATCCATGAGCCCAAGGCTCTGTCCATTTCCTGTGCCGCAGTTCCCTTCGCTCCTAAAATGGGAACAACATTGCCCATCTCGGTACACTAAGGACAGACCCAGTCTCCCAGCCATGCACATCTGCCCCTGTCTGCGTCAAAGCTGTCGTAGTGGTTATTCCACTGTGTATACTGGGACCAAACTCCCCAAACCCACTAGGGCCCTTAACAGCACTCAAAGGAATTAAATGATTTTCAACTTTCAAAGCGCAGGGAGTTGACTTAGTAATTATTTTTGTATAGTACCACATGAAAATATGCATTGTAATGCTTTTTTGTAACGGGCAATTTAGAGAAAGTGGAGGATCAAAATGACTTCCACAAATTAAAATGTGAGCAAATAGTCATTTTATAAGCATATATTCCAAGGGGGGGAGGTAGCCTATTCCTCCCACCTGTTTATGTAGACCCCTCCCATCATCCCAACCATGCAGGGTCAGGCAGACTCACTGCTCAAATATGGCCCAAGAACTGGTGTATGGCACACGGGTTAGGTTAGGTGCTTACCAGAAAGATTTACTGGAAAAACAGGAATGGAAAATGTTGAAAGCAAAAAGGAGCTGCTGCAGACAGAGTCTCAAACCCACTCTAAAGCCTTATTTTAAGAAAGAAACTCTACTCTACCACTCAAAAATAAGTCAATGCTGATGACCCCAAAAACCAAGGTTAAAAAAAAAAAGGGGTGAGATGAGTCTGCATCCTGGGGGAAGAGGCACTAGAGACACTCAAAAATAAGTCAATGCTGATGACCCCAAAAGCCAAGGTTAAAAAAAAAAAGGGGTGAGATGAGTCTGCATCCTGGGGGAAGAGGCACTAGAGAAGTGCCAGCAGCTCTGCCTTCCTATCCCACAACAGAACACCTGATATGCAAGGGTGCCGAGGTAGAAAGTTGTCAGAGCAGGGCCTGACTGGGGCAAGACACAAAGAGTGTGAGGGAAGCCAAGACAGGGATCCTCACCCCATCCTGACCCTGGCTCTCATTCATACCTGTATGTCTTGCCGTCTTTCTGATGGTCATCATCATCCTCAGGGGAGAGGACATAAGGGTCATTCATCTCAGGCAGCCCTGATTCTAGCATCCGCTTCTTCTTTCGGCCCCGGGGAGCCTTAGGAGCCACACTGCCACCTCCACCACCACCTCCACCTCCTTCCTCTGTTAGGGTTGATGCTACCTTCTTGGAGAGGTCAGGGACCACCTGCAGGGCTTGTGAGCCAGGGGGAAGAGCTGAGACAATCATGGGAGCCGAAATGGGAAAGGTCTGAGCTGATGAGGCTGTGGTCACAAGAGAGCCTGAAGGGGACGTGATTACCAAACCTGGACCTAGGATTGGGAGAAAAAGGAGATGGTGTCATGTTGTCTCATCCTGACCCTAATCCTATTTCATTTTATTTCCCCTAGATCATTGTTCAATTAACCCCTCACCACCAACCCCCAGCCCAGAGTATATAGGAAACCCCAAACCCTGTAGAAAAATAATGGTCTCCTAACCCCTGTCCCCGCCCCCCTGGTAACAGTGAGATTTACCCCTTGATTGACTCCCTTCTCTTCTCCACCTCTGAGAACAGGAGACTCCTTGATTCAGAGAAGGAAAGAATGTCACCTCCTCAAAGGCAGGGACCGCATCTTCTACTTCTTTGTATCCCCCACAATGTCTAGCACATTGCTAGGCACACAGTAGGCACTTAATAAAAATCTGATTGAGTAATCAAACACATATCCCACTCCCCATGTCCTCAGAGCCCTCCAGCCTGGGGTACTGATCATGGAAGATCAACACCTCAGATTGGAGAAGAGCAGAGTTGCTCACCAGCAGTCATCAGTCCTGTAGATGGCACAGGGACCACCGTGATATTCTGGGTAACAGACGCCTGGCTGTGTGGGGTCAGCTGGTCTGACTTGGACTCTGTGTCCATATTGATGCCTGAGGGCAGGGACACTGAGGCAGGCACTGTCAGCAGGGTAGGGTAGTGAGGTGGAGCCAGCCCACAGCCCTTCTCTGGCAACAGCTGATCCTTCATCTTGTTGATGAACATTGTGTTCTCAATCTAAAAGAAAAGGAAGGGGCAGGGGAGTGCCCTCTTCAGACTGAGTCGGATTTTGTCTGTATCCCATGCACTTTTCAGTATCTGTCCTCCTCCTTGGAGATCAAGGAACAAGTAGGTAATATCTTTGTGCTTCCAGAGAGAAGCCAAGACAGAAATACTATACAATTCTCAGTGAAACAGCATGTAGTTTGTCTTGCTTCATCTGCACAGCAATAGAACTTACTACTCAGAGTTGAAAAAAGTAAACAATGGGGGAGAGCAAAAAAAGCAACCACTTACTTGTCCTGAGACTGTGGGGATAGAAGGCCAGAAGTATGGGTTAGAATTGAAGTGAGATTCTTCCATTCTACCTGAAGAAAGAAAGAGAGACCACATTACACTCAGGAATAAATCTGAAAAGGCTTGGCAATGGAGAAGGGGAGTTGAGGGATTCCTGGCCTCTTCTCTGGTTGGGAATCAGCAGTCATAACCTTAGTGTGTAGCATACCAGTCCCCTTGGTCAGAACCACTCAGCATTGCATCCCCATCCGACAGAGGCTATCCTAGTTAAATGCTTGTGATAGAACTTATATACATCTCATTTACCCAGAAGATGTTTTCCATGCTCCAAAGAAACAGAATTGGTATTACTTTCCTTTGTTGACAAGAAGAGAAACTGAGGTCATGAGAGGGGAAGGGATGTGCCCAAGGTCATACAAAGCAAATTACTGATTGGTTTGAGAACAGCCAGGGTACCTACCACTGTTCCTCTTTTCCCTTATCCCTGAAATCCATCTTCTTTGGAATAAAAATGTCAAGAACTGTAATTAACATGTCTACAGTTCTATGCAGCTTGAATAGGTTCTAGGCCAGAACACACAATGTCCAAGAGAACTAAAGAATGAAATTAGCAGGATTTAGAATCAAGGTATCTTTTGAGTACCAGCTGATACCCGGGGACCACATCTCACTGATCCCACCAAAGTCTAAGAACATCCAACCCACGGTGCTGCACTAGATACCACACACGCTGGGCTAAACAGTAAGAACCAAGGAATCACCAGTTTGATAAAGAATTTTGGCATCAGCAGTAGCACCCCAGATTCCCACCCAAAGGGATTCAGAATAACGGCAATGGGGGACCAGAACACATACACAATACTAGACTCCTGCTTTGTATTTCTCAAACACTATGTTTCCAAGAAAATTTTGGCATCAGCAGTAGCACCCCAGATTCCCACCCAAAGGGATTCAGAATAACGGCAATGGGGGGCCAGAACACATACACAATACTAGACTCCTGCTTTGTATTTCTCAAACACTATGTTTCCAAGAATTCAAATTCTTCTCTGTATGTAGAAGACAATTAAGCTTAGAACTTTGTGAGTGAGGAATAAGAAGCAAGAAGAGTGATCCCTCAGAATCACGTTGCCAAGTCACAGATGGGTATGAATCGAGGCATCCCACCACCAATTTTCACACTCCCATCACTTCTTGAAGCAAGGCTTAATTGGCAGTGTGCTGGTCAAGACTAGCTTCCCAAAATCCTGGACCAGGAAAGATCCAGCACCACAGAAAGCAGGTAAAGAGAGAGTATGAGACTGGTGGACTGGGGAAATGAACAACAACAGGAAATAACCATTATCACCACGCTACTCCTGTGACCCAAGAGCAACCATGGTTCAGGTGGGGAAGAAAGACCTGTGACTTACGGCCAACTCATACCCACTGGGGATATGCTGGAGGCAAACACCAGAGACACGAAGAGCCAGAGGGCACAAACACTGAGTTTCAAGTTGTGTCTAAGGAAATTGGGAAAGACTTTCAACAAAGGAGTTGAAGCTGAAAATCGCTTTAAATATAACTCTGTTCTTTATCCTTCTCCAGAAGGCTCATGACATTTTTTGCTCTGTTAAACAGTATCCTCGATTTTCATAAAACTTATAAAGGGAAGAACAGAATTTCAGCCTGTTTTTTCTTAAGAAGTAGCAAGAGAGGAATGCACCAAATCTGTGACTACAACAGCTTTACATAAATAAGGCTCAATATTAAAAGACTGAGGACCAACCACAGGCAAATTCTGTTCCCTGAATTATAAAATACAGTAAAACTAGACAGTCTCTGGCATAGATGCTCACCCAGTCCTTCCAGTCCTAGCTTTAGAAAGGGGTCTCAGGTCCTCCTCAGGCAAAAGAATCAAGAAACAATCAGATGACAGTTTAAGGGGATCCAATCTTGCCAAGCTTTTCGGGAGGCAGTGATCACATCTTCTACATTTGTATCTTTCCACTGTTCCTAAAACAGGACTCATCGCCCAAGAGGCAATTACATATTTAATGAATTTAACAGAGGACTCTATACATATAGATTTTGACAACAATGCTAGGGGCTCAAACCGCAACCCACAACCCCTGTCTATCTAACCTAGCCAAGAGAAATGAAATAGACAAGAGGCAGGAGAGGTGATGGGTGGTGGGAATGAAGTAGAGAATTAGGCTGGAGAGTAAAAGAAAGTAAGGTCTAGTACACAATTTCCCCCTAAAAAGATCAAGGAAATAAATGCATTATGGATGTGAAAATTTAGGAGGGAGGAACTGAGAGCTGAAAATAAAAATGTCCCCACACAGGATCCCTGTGAACAATGTGCCTTCCTCTCTCCAAAATGATTACATCCATTCATATTGTTCTACAGGTGGCTCAGGCGAAGCAGAGTTTCTGAGGGTACCCCTTTGAGTTCTTACAAAGAGGGCATACAAAGTGATGTGGTGGACAATATTACCACTGCCATCACCATTATCATTAACATTTATTAAGTGCTTATTGTATTCAAGGTAGCGTTCTAAGCACTTTGAAACTCTTACATCGTTTAATCCCCACAACAATTCTATGAGGAAGGTAATGTAACCCGCATTTTTCAAATGAGGAAATTGGAGGCATAGAGTCAAATAATAAACAGCAGAGCAGGGTTCTGAACCCAGACACCAAAGAGCAAGTTAAGGAAAGGGTTTCTAAATCCATACAATTGAAGTAGATACTCTCTGATGTTGTGACTTAATCCAGGAATTAAAATTTAGAATATTCCCAGGAATGAACTATACCTTTTTTAGGTAGTTCTCAACGAATGTTTTCAAAATTGAAGTTTTTGATGGGCCGGCCCGTGGCTCACTCGGGAGAGTGCGGTGCTGATAACACCAAGGCCGCGGGTTCGGATCCCATATAGGGATGGCCGGTTGGCTCACTGGGTGAGCGTGGTGCTGACAACACCAAGTCAAGGGTTAAGATCCCCTTACCCGTCATCTTTAAAAAAAAAAAAAAAATTGAAGTTTTTGATAATAGCAAAATGACATGCAGTTCAGTATCATATTCCCTGTCCACATTCTGTGAAATCTCACTTGGCTACCAAGCTAACTAATTCTAGAATGATGGAAAATAACAAGGCCAGACCTTCCAGAGGAAAATAAATAAAGGGTACCTCCACTTACTTGGATACCTAGACTATCACTCTGCTTTGTTTCTTAAGAGAACAAAGCTGAAGGTCAAAACTACAGAGGGTCTGGGCCGGCCCGTGGCTCACTCGGTAGAGTGCGGTGCTGATAACACCAAGGCCCCGGGTTCGGATCCCACATAGGGATGGCCGGTTCGCGCACTGGCTGAGCGTGATGCTGACAACACCAAGTCAAGGGTTAAGATCCCCTTACTGGTCATCTTTTAAAAAAAAAAAAAAAAAAAAAAAAAAACTACAGAGGGTCTTGGGACAAGACAAGACAATATATGTGCCTCATGGGCTTTTGATAAATAGGCCAGTTCAAAAGGTGGGCACATGGAGAGTATGCTCACACAACTATAAGCAATATTTAACTGCAAAATGATACTGAGAAATGCTATATACCACTGCTCTGCTGATAAGGCTGACTTAAATCTCTGTATCCTTGAAATGAGATCAGTTAGAGAGCCAGGAATGAAGGCTATTGCTAGAATACAGTGTAAACATCACCCCCTGGAGTTGTGTAACAGTGCCTGGTGCCAGATCACTTAAATATCTGTTTCCTGTCCATTTTACCACTTACCCTCTTACTCTATCTTTCATGGAGGAAATCTCACCAAACCATTCCAACATCCAAGCAGCCATATATCAACATTCTTACAACCCAAAGGAGCTCACTGATATTATGGGGAAAACTCATCTCTACAAAGAGTGCCAGCTTTAATGATTACACCATTAGAAAAAGAAAAAAAAAGAACCAGTTTACCCTAAACTGAGAAGGAAGAGGAAGGCCTCTATTATAGTCCCAAAAAGCAGGAAAGAAGGAAAAATGTAATAGATGGAAAGGCGAATGCTGGGTTCTAATTCCAACTTCACTACTGCACCAAATATCAACTGTTCTGTTAACAAGAAGGGAGATTTACTATAATTAAGTTGGTTGGTACTTTTCTTTCAAGAGGTTCAAGGAACTACATATTCTTTCTCTAACCTCAAAAGTGATCTTGGAGGGCCGGCCCGTGGCTCACTTGGGTGAGTGTGGTGCTGACAACACCAAGTCAAGGGTGAAGATCCCCTTACGGTCATCTTAAAAAAAAAAAAAAAAGTGATCTTGGAAGCACAAGGGAGGTGAATAAGAGAGACACTGTTAAGTAACATCCATGAAACACACAGTAGGACTTGAACTCTTGCATCAGAGCTCTGTCCATCTGACCACATCCTTCCACAGTGCTACCAACCAGCCAAGGATAAAGGTGTCATGGCCTCCAGCATGTGGTTTTGGCAGATATGCTGAAGACAACCACTTCTTTCCCCTTTCCTAATACTTACTACTACTGATTTTTTTTTACTGTTGTTTTTCAAGTAAAGCATGATTTTCTTTTCCCAAGAAAATATCATTCCCTTAACACAACCAACCTTTAGAAAATCATGAAATACTCACACTCCTAGCTAGAGAATGGACCTAGGAATCAAGACTTGTGGATTCTAATTCTAGGTTCTACATCAGTAGATGACTCTTAACAATTAACTACTAAGTTTCTGTTAGGGTGGAGGATGGAAGAGGATTTCCCCTTTACACTAGGTTCATTAGCCTATGGTGATGGGATGGAGGCAGCGCAAAAAAGAGAAAGAATAAAATGCTAAAAGTGCTCCTGAAAAGAAAAGAGTTGGAGAAATACTTCCAAGCGATAAGGACTATTAGCAACAATTAGTGAAAATTACATAAAGACCACATAATTACAAAGGAACTACCCAAAAGTAACCGTATAGCTTCCAGCTTAGTAATCATCTACAAGAAGCATCGACATGAAAAAGATGCAAAAAACAAGGAATTAGAATTCAACTACAGAAAGAACTTAGACACTCTATAGAGAGAAACAGTTCCAAAATGCACAGTTGCAGAAAGGTTGCAACGTTAACTGAAGACTTGAAATGAAGAAATGCAGAGAACCATTTTTTTCTCAATAAGGAAACAAAATTTCTTTCTCTCAGGTTCTGAAGACATTCAAAAAGAGCCATCCCAATAGGATTTGGGGCCTTCCTGCTACTACCCATGAAGTCTTCCAAGAACAAAATAATTCAGAACAGGTTTAACCCCAATTCTACTAGGAAAGACCATCATACAAACCAAAAGGACCACTACCACTATGCAGCTGGCAATCTGGGCCAGCAGCTTCTACTCTGGGCACTGCTGGACCATTATACACTGTACCCTGTGGGAGGAACAGCATTTTGCTCTCTCTTTGCTGTGTCTTTCCATTATAAATGATGAATCTGGGAAATGTGAAGCAAAATAAATAAATAAGGCTGGAGGAAAAGGGATATGTACGTAACATTTAATCATCAACTTGGCTTAGAAACCTATGGGGGGCATTTTAACTGACACACGGAGGCCCTATGGAATCAAGCTCTAGAGGTTGGTCTCAAGGCTAGTGGAGGTTCTGTTTATTTCGGGGATGGGGAACTGTGATGAGAACTGTCCCGTTAGTGGTGGGAGACTTCACTCAGGGTCGCCCCTGTGATACCCCTCATTTCCAATGAAACTATGCTTTGCTCTTAACCATAGAAAAGGGTTCTTGGTGACATTTTGTCTTGGGGGTGGGAGAACTGAGGTTCAGAATTTAAACCTGAATTACTGATAGGACCTACCTCCTGCCCCCACAAGATCCCAGAAGGAAGCCCCAGAGGCCCACCATTCCACCACTGCCTTCCCAGGAGTTGTCAGAGCTCAGGGATACCCATCCCATGCCTGTGCCTGATCTACAGAGTGGAAGCTGATTACTCAAAGCAAGAGCCAATGCCAAAGTATCTGGTTCTCGAAACAAACGCCTGGGTTCAAATCCTGGCTAGGCCTCTTCTTAATAACTTTGTGATGTGGTGCAAGTTTCTTAACTTCTCTGTGCTTCAGCTTCCTTATGTATAAAACGGAGATAATACTACTACTTTGCAGGGTTTTTGTGAAGATTAAGTGGATTGATACATGTAATGTACTACAAATAGTGCCTGGCACAGAGTAAGTGCACAAAAAGTTTGTTACTACTGTCTAAAAAAGAAAAAAAGGGCCGGCCTGTGGCTCACTTGGGAGAGTGCGGTGCTGATAACACCAAGGCCATGGGTTCGGATCTATATAGGGATGGCTGGTTAGCTCACTGGTTGAGCGTGGTGCAGACAACACCAAGCCAAGGGTTGAGATCCCCTTACCGGTCATCTTTAAAAAAGAAAAGAAACCTACAGGGAATACGGCTGGCCAGTTAACTCAGGTGGTAAGAGCACGATATTGTAACACCAAGGTTAAGAGTTCAGATCCTCAAACCTGCCAGCAGTAAAACAAACAAAAAGAAGACACCTATAGGGAATAAATTTTATAAACTAGATTGGAAATAGTTCTTAAAAGAAACCTCTAGGTCATCCCTAAAAGATCTGAGAAAACAAACAAACAAACAAAACCTCTAGGATTATAAACTCTGAATTCAAAACTCTTTGGGATTGACACATTGTCATCTTCAGGCTACCTGAAACTCTCACTATCATTATCAGGCCTCTTTTTTTTTAATTCTTCCAGACCTACTTCTGAAGTCCACTGTACAGTTTTATCTACTTTACTTCAAACTCCCACAAAGCTGGGTTTTTCCCCCTGAAAACTTCACCCTGCCACACCAAATTCAAATAACCCTGTGTTACAGATTTTAATCATTCAACAGATCCACTCCTAACACTGGAAGATTAAGGATAGAAACCCAACTCTAAACTCAGCTCTGCTTGTTCCAAATACAAGAAAGCAATCCCATAATGCCAATAAGGACTATACTGGCAATTAGGGCCTGTGTCCCCAAAGTAGAATACATTTCTCCTATGGATACAATGCAACACTACTCAAGGGTTTCACTTGATCATTTCACATTTCATTCCTGATGAGTACTAGCGGGAATGGAAGGTAGGTGACAGAATACAGTGTCAACTTTTTACACAAAAACTTCCTGGGTACTGTCATGAGATAATAGGAAAAGGCTGATTTTCTCCCACAGCAAACACCAGTATTACAATTGCTATTACTGGAAGAATTATGTCACATTAAAAAAATTTTTTTTATTATGACCACTTCTCCCCAAAACCCGAAAAGCCATTAATTCAAAATTGTCTTACCCTCTCTCTCTCTTCCTCCTGTCGCCTTATTCCTTCTCCTTTCCAGGGCTCCTGACCTTTCTGTAAACAAATTGTCTAGGTTACAGGAGCCAGTAGGGTGCAGCCACCAGAGAACTGCGGAGAACTTCAGAAATTCTTTGACTGTCAGCAGTCAGTCTGGAAGGCAGGCAGACCCCCAACCAACAATCCAAACATGTAAGGATATAATAAAAGAAGTCTAGTGGCGCCCCTTATGTGGATACAAGGAACATAAATCCAGTTCCCAGAAACTAAGATGAACTCTATCACCAGCGTTTGGGTTTCACTCCTAGGCTCAAACACTGGTTCTTCTTCGGTCCCAGGCCAAAGGTAATCAGGGTCAGAGAACAGAAGAGTTGGAAGAGGAGGAGGGTCCCTGCGCCTGAGGAGTGGCTCAGAAGGCAAAGCCGAGGACTGGTGGGATGCACAAGCCCTTACGTCAGGCACAGTGCCAGTTCAGGCCCAGCCACTTCCTCCAGCCTTCCCCCCACTTCTTCGAGGACTTCGCCCCCTGCCTACCCAAGGCCTTGTGCCGAGAAGTACCTCTCTCAACCTGCACAGCGGACTATCTACTGGAGACCCCAGCTGCCCCCACAAAACCTTCGCTCCCCTGAGACAGCCCCTGGGAACCTTCTCCTGATGTCGCCCCCCACCTCTTCCTCAAACACCCTTTCCTGGGACGTCCCTCCTTCCCCTCCAAGGAGCTGAACTCTACCACCCACCAGACAGGCACCCGCCCCCTAAACCCCCCCATTCCTCCCCATCGCCCGCTCCTCCATAACCACTTCCGGTTCCGGGATGGACACACATACAGTCACATCGTGGACCCCCGTCCCGGCCCCCCCCAAAAAAAGGGAGGAGGGAGGAGCAGGGAGCTTGGCGCGCGCCGGCTGCAGCGGCGCGAGACTCACCCGGCGGCGACGGCTGCGGCGGCGCCAGAGCCTGAGCCAGAGCGCGGGAGGGGCGGCGTTTGCTGGGAAAGGAGGGAGTCGAGTGGGGTGGGAGGGCCAGGAGGGGCGAGGGAGGGGGAGCGCGAGGCGGAGCGCTCGGGCACGCACTTCGGGCGCGAGACAGACCCACACACTCACACGCACGGAATGCGCGCGAGACGCGCAGGGCGGGGGCGCGAGGCAGTGGGTGGCCCCCTCCTCCCTAACACTCACCCGGAAGTGCTGCTGCAGCCCGTGCTCCCCAGAACCCCAATTCCTCCACGCCCCCTCCCTCCCTCCCCCCCCACAGGCTCCGAGAAGAGCCGCTGCGGAGAGAAGGCGGGAGCGCCGGAAACGAAAAGGGGGGGCGGGAGGGAAATAGCAATGTAGGGGGGCGGTGTGGGGAAACGGGGGGAGTGCAAGGGCCGAGTCACTTCCGGGAATGGCGGGAACACATCCGGCGCCGCTAGCGCCCTGGTGTAGTCAGGGCAGAAGTTACGACAAGTAAGGGCGGAAGTGGCTTCTGCCCAGGGACGCTGTAGAATCTTCAGTGGATGTGACGCCATGGCGGAAGTGGAGGCGGGTTTTACTAAGGGCAGAAGCTGAACGTTCACAACTGCGGTCCCGCGCTTCCGAAAGGACTTCTGGGGAAGGGGGAGGGTGGAAACGCGACAGGGTCATGAATTATGCATCAAGATACGAGGGAGGTATGGATTTTTTTTAAGCTCTAGGGTCGCGTTTCACTTCTCTCGGGGTGGAACAGGCTGAGGGAGGAAGTTACCATTAGTTTTTCTTAAACCCTCAAGAATGTCTTCGTGCTTTGAATACGCAGAAAGGATAAGGATGTGTCAGTGGTTTTCTGAGGTCCCTGCTTAGGCCCAAAGAGTGACAACCTCACCTAACCATCAAAATCCGACCCCTCCTTCTCTCTGACCACACCCCTTACTCTCTTTGCTTTGATCTTTTCTTGTTGCCCTCACCCACATCTCTATCCCCTTATCCTGCCTTACTTTTAAATATAGCACTCATCACTGCCTATCATATTGTTTACTGTGCATCCCTTCCCACTAAAATATCGACTCTACGAGGGCAAGGACTTTGAATTGTTCGCTGCTGTATCCTCAGATCCTCGCACTTAGTAAGCTATCAGTAGAAGTTTGTCGCATAAATGAACTACAGTTTATTATGTGCACCTAATATGAACCCTTCCAGGAAGCCTTCCCTGATTGCTTCAACCCATAATGGTCCCTTTGTCTGAATTCCCACAGCATTTAGTCTGCACCTTCTTTTTTTTTTTTTTTTTTTTTTTTAAAGATGACGGGTAAAGGGATCTTAACCCTTGACTTGGTGTTGTGAGCACCACGCTCACCCAGTGAGCTAACCGGCCATCCCTATATAGGATCCGAACCCATGGCGTTGGTGTTATCAGTACCACACTCTCCCAAGTGACCCACAGGCCAGCCCAAGTCTGCTCCTTTTTTTTGCTATTTAACCTATTTTGTATGTATGGTTCCCCAACAAGATTGTCAGCTCTTCGGGGAAGAAACTGCTCACATTGCTTTGCTGAGTACATAGTAGACGCTAAATAAATGTGTTGTTTGAGTAAATGAATGCTGCCGCAAATCTGCACCTTGATCTGGCCAGAATCCTTCTGGACTGACACATAATCGAGGATTCCTGTTAACAGTAATAGTCCCTTGCTAAAAAAGCAAAAGAACCCCAACAGAAATAATGAAAGTAAGACTGAAGGTTTAAGTGATTTTTTTCCAAGGCTATAACAAGGAAGTAGCAAAGGACACCTTTAAACATTTAAATATTTAAAAGAAACATTTAAATAGATGATGCATATCTTTGGTTTGTAATTGTACATTGTATCTTTTTTAAAGTGTCTACTCCCTGTCACATTTTTGGGCTCAGTATTAAATCTTTGTTGACTGAATAGCAATAGTTGGCAGGATAAGGGTGTTAAGGGCTCAGATGTGACCAGACGTAGTTGCTGATTGGGTTAGAGATTGTTGATTTGAGAAATTTTTTTTTTTTTTTTTTTTGTCTTTTGTCTTTTTCCGTGTCCGGCAACGGATCGCAACCCTCAGCGTTGCCCCCGTACCGGACCGGGGACCTTGGCAGGATAAGGGTGTTAAGGGCTCAGATGTGACCAGACGTAGTTGCTGATTGGGTTAGAGATTGTTGATTTGAGAAATTTTTTTTTTTTTTTTTAATGACTGGTAAAGGGATCTTAACCCTTGGCTTGGTGTTGTCAGCACCACACTCAGCCAGTAAGCGAACCAGCCATCCCTATACAGGATCCGAACCCATGGCCTGGGTGTTATCAGCACCACACTCTCCCGAGTGAGCCACGGGCTGGCACGATTTGAGAAATCTTGACTTTGGGGGCTGGTATGGAAAAGTGGGAGCAAAACAGTAGTAATTACTTTAGTCCTGGTTCTCCTGCTTTCCTGTTCACATTAACTGGCCACTTCCTGGACCTCAGTGTCTCCAACTGTCAACCCTATTCCTATCCTTGCTATAAGAAGCAAGTTTTAAGTGCTTTGAAGTCCTTAGAGAAAAGCTTTAAAGCAATAAATGTGGGGTGTAGGGGGAGGAGGGCTGTTAATTTTAGCCTGGGGTTCTCCAGCTGGCGCATTGTTTCTGTCTTGAATCACTTCCACACCCTGAGTTCTGCCTGGGAGATCCCTCCTCCTGGAGGCTTCCCCATTCCCTGGTTTGGTCTGAGCCACAATGGTAAACATTCCAGAAAAATGCTTAAGAGAAGCCTGGCTGAGTCATTTGATGCACAGCCAAGGAGGCGAGGAAAGCATGGTGATCAGACACTGGTTCCAGTGGTGCCTGTGATGCATGGCCTTGAAGAAACTTCCGATTCCCAAAAGGGCAGTATGGCCATTGTTTTGTACTTGATTCTGCTCTATTACTTGCAGCCATTTGAGGACCTCCCAAGGCCCTTTAGTCTCTGTTTCAACTCCAGGAGAGAAAAAAATTAAGGTCTGTTCCCTAGGGGCTCATGACTCTTCATGGTCGGCATGACAATGTAATTTAGTTTGGGATAATTCCTTTAGCACAATTCAGAAGTCTAGGATTGTCGCCTTTCTCTTCTGTCTTTCCCTGCCATCTGACTTTTCATGGGGAAGGAGGGCATTTAGAGAGGGGAAACAGGTGAGGATTTCCAGTGTCTTCTGGTGTATTTTAATTTATTTAAATTTAGGCAAGCAGAGGTCTAATCAGGCAGTAATTAATTCCCCCTTCATTAGGGGCCTTCATGTGTGCCTTTTGCACATGTATGAGCCGCAGGGTCACACTGTCCCTCTGAAGAGAGATAGTTGCTGCAGGTGAGAGCCCAGAGTGTTCTCCAGGCTCCTGAGCTTTTTCCCCTTCCATGTCACTGCTCTTCTTTTCTCCCCACCCTCACCTGACAAGGACTAGATTCCTGTGGGGAAAGAAGGAAAGGTTAAAGAGGCTTCCTTTCCCATCCTCCTGGGACCCCTCCCTCAGTGCTCCCAAGCATCCCATCAGCTCCTCTTCCTGCACCCTCAGGTGGCATCCATCAGCTGCCTGCTGGGATCTGCTTGGGCCCGGCTGGGTTGACTCCTCAGAGCCCTCCTTGGGAACTTGCTCCTCTGCTCCGAGTTGGCCCATCAATCCTTAGTCCGCTCTGCTCTTTGCTCTGTAGCAGTCTGTACTTTTCTTGGGAAGCCTGATGCCCTGCAGGCACACACCACTCTAGGCCTGAGAAATACGCTGCCTCCTCCCCACACTCACCATTATGTGCTGCGTGGCCTCAGCCCCGCTTCCCTCAGTACACAGTAAAGCTCCCCAACATCTAAAGCACACCTCCCCAGTACATGAACATTCCTCATTCTGGCTTCAAAGATAAACACATGGAGGCGTGAACAGTCCAGGGCAGCCCAGACTGTCCTCTTGCATACTACACTGTCTCCTGTCATACCTGGGGCTACCCCAATTCCAGGAAGCAAGTGGGGCAGAGGGACCTGGGTGGGACAGAGGGACCTGGGTGGTTACCATGGCAACAGAGCCTAGCAACAGCCCAGAGGCTGATGGATGGGACAGAGGGACCTGGGTGGTTACCATGGCAACAGAGCCTAGCAACAGCCCAGAGGCTGATGTGTGGGCTTTTGCAGGGCTGTTACAAGAGCCAAACCTAGAACTGGGGACTCAGAGGTGACTGATCCCAGCTGGGCAGCCTGTGTTCCCTTCCCCAAACATGCTTTGATTCCACCCCCACACCCCAGCAGTGCCTCTCTCAGAGAGGCAGAGAGGGGAAAGGTAAGGAGTTAACCACAGGGCTTCTAATGCTGCACAGCTTTTGGGGGGGCCACTGTGGGTGGGGGCAGGTTAGGGAGCAAGACTGAAAATAAACCGGGCAGGGCAGCCTCTTTCCTGTGGCTGCCTCTCTTCCCCTTTCTACTGCTCCATTTTTCTCTTCTCCTTTCACCCTTCACCATCCATCTGCCTTATCAGCTCACTCTTCGTCCTTGTTTTGCTTACTCCATTGCCTGTCCTATGTAATTTTCCATTTTCTTCTGTCTCCTTTCTCGAGGTCTCTCTTGACCTTCCCTGGCAAGTACTAGTAAGACACAATTCCAATTCCAGTTCCTCTCTTGCACTGGTGCTCCTCATTTCCCTTCCTTCTCCCTTCCTTCCATTCTGTCCAGAGTTAAAGCCCAGGTCGGTCCCCAGCTCCAGGTTGGAGCAGGCCAGGTCACATTAGGTCTGAAGGGGCTCCCCACCTCATCCTTCTTTTCCTCCCTCCTGGCTGCCCATCCCCCTCCCCTCTCCTCTACAGGGATCATAAGGCAGAACCAGGGGACTGAAGTATCTTGCAAAGGCTTTATTTGAAAATTTTGAAACTTACATCCCACAAGAATTCAAGAGTTTCACCACAAGAAGAAAGAGATAATACAAAAATATATATCACAGCATAGGAGCCAGATAAGAGGGAAAGAAGGAAGGTGGAAAAACCAGTGAGAAGTAGGGAAGAACCTGAGAAGGAAAGGGTGGAGAGGCAGGAGGAGAGAGAGTGGAAGAAGGAAGGAAGGACAGGAGAGGACATGAGGGAGCTCAGGAATGGAAGGGTAGATTTGGAAGCAGAACTCCTGATGGCCTTGAACCAGCTGGCTCCAGTCCCTGGCAGCCTGGGTGGAGTTAGGGAGACCCTAAGGGAGGCTGGGAAGTAGAGGACTGGCTCAGGGGGCTCTGAATTCCAAAGAGTGACACACAGACAGCCAGGACAGACAAGACAAAAGAGACTTAGGAGGAAGGGAAGGACAAACAAGAGTTCCTTTCTCATGTAGTGCAGCAGGCGATTCCCCCAAAACCCATCTCTCAGACAACAGAATTTACCAGAGTGGTGGGGGAGAAGTTGGGGCCTCACTACCCCCATTCCCATGGGGGAGCCCTCAGTGTGATGCCAGCGCCCTTGGAGTGGGATAGGGGAGACAGTGAAACACATGACATGGGATGGGACGAGACCGTGACAGATGAGAGCACAAGGAGCCCCCACTCACCTCCCACCCACCTCTGAGGAAGCATGCAGGGGCCACAGAAACTAGATCAGTGGGTGTTAATGGGGGAGAGAGTGGCACACCACGCAACACCAAAACACTGGGCTGGGAAACACACGTGAGAGGTAAAATGTGCATGAAACACTGACCACTCAGTGACTGAGCTGAGCACAGAATGTGGGAGGGAGAGTGAAAATGCGAAACGAGGGAGAACGTGAGAGATCAGCTGAGCGGAGAGATGTGGATGGGGAGAGGGTGCAGAAGACCGGCCATACAAAAGCACGAGTGTGCAATGCCTGTGAGGGTGAAGGTGAGTGTGCAAGGCTTTCATGTGAGTGTGCAAGGATGGGGATGAGGGACCCAAAGTCACAAATATGTGAGGCCCCCACCTCCAGAAGGGCGATCAGGTAGGACTGCCCATGGGGCCAGGGAATGTTCCAGGGTGGTGTGCAAGGGCAGAAGCCAGGAGCACCTGTGGCCCCAGCTCCTCACAGCTGCCCCACCCCCAGTGGGATGGGGGCTATTCCGGCCCCTTAGCCTCCTGCTTGGCAGCACCCCAACATTGGGGAGCATCACAGATTCACCAGGGGAATCCTGAGAGGAAGAGGGAAAGGGCACAGTCATGAACCAAGGGGTAGGTCAGAATCGAAGGGGAAGTCCAAGACAGAGAAGGGAAATTAAGGTTATAAGAGGGCACAGCTGGACTTAACGGGCAGCATGAGAATAGGACATAGATCCTCAGAGAGTGGGAGAAGGGAGGGTCCCCCCTAGCAAGGAGCTGGTCCAGCCTCCTTGGGAGTGCCTGGGACCAGGCTGGGAAGAAGAGCCAGGGGCTGTGGGAAGGGCAGGCCTGCCTTCTGGCCTTGTACCCAGGGAGCACCCCCAACCCAGCTCTGGAGACCTAAGTCGCCTTCCCTCCTCACCCTCCCATCCCATTGCCCCTGCCCTCACCGGTTCAACTGGAAGGCTGGAGCCCCCTTGGGCTGGGGCATCCCAGGCCGGGGTCCCCCTCGGGGCTCCTCATGGTCAGGGGTGGGGGTAGGCGAGTCTCCAAAGGCTCCCAGTACAGTGACTCCGGCTGGGGACAGGTCTGTCAGTGGCTGCTGGCTCTCCTCCTGCCTCAGGGCACCTTGCTGTCCTGATGGCCTGCGCCGCTTCTGGCTGCGGTCCCAGCTGGCCCATCGGAAGGAAAGAGGTCTTCTCACACACTGGAGTAGCCCTCATCCTGTGCCTGCAGCGCTGGTCACCCCCAGCCTCCCCCAGGTACCCCCAACATCCTACAGCACAGAATCTAGCCTCTAACAGTTCCTATACTAAATCTCCTAGGACCATGTGCCCATAAAACCACTTCCCCCACTCTCCAGGGGGCTCAGAAATCTAAACCATTCTCCCCACCCCAACCAGAGCCCCCTCCCCACCAACACGTAGAGTCTCCCCAAATCACCCCTCCCCCATGCATGTCCAGAACAGCCATTTCTCTCCTCCAGCAGGTACCTGGCAGGTTTAGTTCTAGTTCAAAGTCAGCTAATGACCTGGACACCTGAGAATAATGATTCACTCAGTAAAGTATGAAGGACTGAGTGGTCCATTATTAGATGTGTGCAAAGAAAGCTCCAGATTTTCTTCCTTCTCCCAGGGTGGCTCTAAGAAGGGGCCCTGTAGAACGTGTCTGTTTTCTCTGTCTTGGAGGAAATTAGGACAAGGGATGCCCACCAAAGCCCCCTAGTGCACAGAAATAATTCTCTTTCTCTCCCATTATCCTCATATTTTCCTGGGAGAAGGAATCGGCCCTGATTTCTCACTGTCTTCCCCCACCCAAATCCTTTCTACCTTTCCCCAAGGTCTTGCCTTCATCCTACCCTTCCTACCCCACCCCTAGCAAAACTGCTGCTCTTACTCCCTCCCTGCTTCCAGCCTCAGTTGCCAAACATCCTGCCCCCATCCGCCAGCACCCTCCTCCCCACTGCTTACCAGAACTTGAAGATGATGCCAGTGGCCACGAGAACGATGATGATGGAGATGGTAATTGTGACATACAACTGAGGGTCCACACCTGGTTGGGATGGGGAGAAAGTTTTAGGTAGGCCTGAGGTGGAAGGAGCCAAGGGGAGGTCGGGGCTGGGCTCAGGCAGCAAGGTCAGTAAGCTGCCTGTGAAGCCGCACTGCCCCACTCTTTCTGCTTCTCTGGCACCTCCCCCTTTGCTGTTATCACCAGCTTCCCCCTGAGTTTTCAGCTCTTGTCTTCCACTTTCCCAAATATATTTCATTAAATTTCATGTGTACATGTAATGAGGACGAGGCTCCAAGATCAGAGAGAACCTGTCTCTGCATAGAAACTAGGGAGGAGAGATATCTTAGTTTTTGCCCTGGCCCAACCCCCAAACCTTTGGCCCAGGCCCTTCATTGGCACTCCCTGAGCCAAGACAACATCCCGGTAGTCCCCTTCATCCATAGTGTTCTTTTCCCTGGAATACTCCCACTGTTTTCAAGGCCCAGCTCAAATGCCAATTCTTTGAAGGTGTCCTGATCCCCAGGCAGAAGTAGTCTCTCACTTCTCTCTTTTCCAAAAAACATGCTGTAAATGCCTCTATTAGAGCGTTTATTATGTTGTCTCCTCCCTGAGTGTTTACACATCTGTCTTCTGCAGTGGACCTAAACTCCTCGAGGACTCAGACGGTATCTTCATCTCTGCATGCTGTGCAGAGATGCACTATGCCTGACACATTTCTCCAAGGAGCTACTAGACAAGGCCTCTACTTCTGCTCCTAGAGTCTTCAACCAGCCTCCCCACCTCTCATATGCCCACTCACCTTCCCCATGGCCTCCGAACAGGAACGGCCTCAGGGTGGCAGGTGCTTCTCCAAGGATGAGCTCACCTCCATCACCCCGCATGGTGTCTGAGTTGGGGTGTGGTGTAGCCAGCCCATGGGGGGCTGCAAAGCCATAGTCCAGAAATCCAGGATTGGCAGAGTTGGGGTCCCCCCCATCCTCTCGAGACACTGTGGGACCCCACACAATAGCCCAGGGGTACTGGGATGAGGGCGGCCCCTCCTCAAAGCCCGATGGAGTGGCAGGGGGTGCAGTGCCTGGTAGGACTTGCCGACGTGATCTTGGGACCCGAGGGGATCGGCTTGGTGGAGGTGCTCGCTCCCACACGCACACGTGGCGTGGGGCTGAGGGGCCACCCCGGGCACATGGGGGGCGGGCTGGGGCTGGTGGGGTTCGAGGGGAGGAGGAGGAGCCCTGAGCAGGCGGTGGGAGGGGCAGCAACAGCAGCGGCCAGAGAGGGAGGAGGTGGGACAGCAGCAGTGCAGGCCTGCAAGAAGGGAGAGAAGGAGGTGGAACACAGGACCATGGTGGTCTGTGTATAGGGAGGGCAGGTTCACACCAGAAATCCCTGGGCTGCCTCCCTCCAGGTTTCTCTGTGCAAGCAGGTGGGCCTTGGGAAGACTGCCCTCATTTCCTATCTTTCTAGGGTCCAGCCCACAGGATGGAAGGCCCTGAGTGGGCCTAGGAAGGAATGGGCCAAGACCCCAGGGAAGTGGTCTCCAAGCTCCCTCTGCTGGGCTAAACTTACCACATCCTGGACTCCATGTCTGAGGTCTTCCTCAGCTGAGACCTAGATTTTCAGCCTTTACTGGGGGGAAAAGCGGGTCGTCACAGCACAACCTTGCCCTGTGTGCATTTCTGGCTCATCGATTTGCCAATTCTACCTCCATCTCCCCTCCCAGGCTGCCCACCTGCCAGCCATGCTGCTACCACCCAGGATCCATTGCTTCCTAGCATCCTTTGGGGAAAAAACTCCCAGAGTGGTTTCCTGACTAGCCCCCAGCCCATCTACAACTTCCAGGTCCCTGTCACCTCCCTCTCCAGGGTCTACTTCTGCTTCTCTGGCTTTCCTCCTTCTCAGTTCCTCTGCCCACAGCTCCAGGCTTTTCTTGGATCTTAATTTAGAGCCTAGAACCTTGTGATTCCTTGAGCACCTACCACTAGGGAGGCAGCCTGAGAGTGGGGGGAGGAAAGGGGAAGTCGGTTTGAGTGAGTGAGTGTGTCTGTAGAGGGGCCTTCCAGCCCTTCCATCCCACTGGTAGGACCAGGCACTTCTCTTAGGATTGGCCCCGGGAGTCCTGCATCTTCAGGAGAAAGGGAGGAAAAGGATGGAGAGATGAAGGAAAGAAACAGAGAGAGAGAGAGGTGGGTGGGAAAGAAACTACAGAATGTAATTTTTGCAAATGCATAGGTGCCCCCTGAAGGGAGGTGCGTTAAGAAGAAGCCACCCCCTCTCTCCTGGGTAAAGAGTCCTACGAGGAGATTTGAATGGTTGGTCTTGAAAGAGGAAGGGCATGTTCTCAGAGCCGAGGGTGGTAGATCCACGGGGGCCAGGCTCCCCAGGGTGAATGAGGGTATGACACCCGGCGACCTCTGGCTTCCAGGACTCCATGTACACACACTGAACACTACCAGAGCATAACAGGGAAATAAGATTGGAGAGTCTGGGGAAGGGAACGGGGAGGTGGGCAGTGGGGAGAGACAGGAGGGAGTGAAGGGGTGGGGAGGGAAGCGAGGAGAAGGGCAGAGGTCGCCGGCCTAGAGCGAGCAAGGAGGGCCTGAAGGAGAACGCGCTGGAGAAAGAAGAGGAGGGGACAGGATTGTGGAGGGTGCGAAGGGGGAAAGGCCGAGAGGAAAGTTCAGGGAGGAGAACCGAGGCGGCGAAGGGTCCTCTCACAAGGAGCAGGAGGAGAAAGAAGGAAAGGCCCAGGAAGGAGGGTCGGAGAAGTGGAGAGAGTGGAGGGGTGTGGGGGACGCCTCGGGGGAGACGGGGCTGGGGACAGGAGATGAGAGGAGAGAGCGCAGCACTGAGGACAGACGAGAGGAGGAAGGCCCGGGGGCCAGAAACAGCAAAGATGGAGGGGCTGGAAGTCGCTTCTTGGAACGTAAAGGAACAGGGAGATGTGGAAGCAGATGGGTGCGGAGCCGTGGTGGGAAGAGGGGAAGAGAAGGGAGCCGGAGGGAGGACGGCAGGAGGGGGTCAGGGCCGGCCAGGGAGGCGCAGGAGCGCTCACGGGGACATCCGTGGCCAGCTCACTCCGGACTCGCCTGCCCCTCCGCCCCGCGCGTCCCCGGCCCTGGGCCCCTGGACCCCCGGACCCCGCCCCGGCGGCCGCCCCTCCAGGAAGCCCGCAGTCCCCGGGCTCACGCGCCA